ATATAATTTTCTTATAATTTTAAGATAAGATAAAATGAAAGATTTTGGACTTCATTAATTCTGTTGAGCTAATTTATAAAGTAAATAAACAGAATCTAAAAAGTGGTAAATAAATGCAACATGATAAAGAAAAGCCACTAAGCTAGGATCATTACCTACCCTGCCATATGACATCTAAGAAATCATTCTGCAGCTCTTTTACTATCAATTTAGTGAAAAGCTCTCTAAAATATTTATTGAATACCTTTTGATAACATTTACTTAATACTACTATAATATTCACATTTACTAAATACTACTATAAGATAAGTACTGATCATAAAAAGATGAAAAACATATAATTGATGATTATATCTTAGAATTCAAAATCAATAATTATTGGGACAAGAGATGTAAACTAGGGCTTTCTAGGCAACTGGAAAAAAAAGTCACCTTAGACTTAGAAAGAAAATTCCTGAGCTAACACCAAAAAGATAAGCGATAGTCACGTAAACAAAGTGGATTGAGAGGACGTCATAAGCAAAGGCAACAGTTTAAGTAAATATCTGGAGGACAAAACAGCCAAGAGCTTATACTTAGAAAAAGTGTAAGAATTAAGACTGAAATTAAATAATATATAAAATCATAACATATTATTATATACAGTATTTAACTATTATATTATGGAGAACATTATGTCCAATAAAGTTCCTCAACATATAGTCAAAAGACTACTACAACTTACATTTCATAAGTATGTTCACAATGCAATTTCATGAACCCACACTCCAGAACAAAACTGAATAAGAATAAAGTATAAAGATTAACTGAATAAGTGTCTACATTCAGTTAATCTTTATACTTTATACACACAAAATCTGAGATTCAATCAATAGGAAATCATTTTTAGTTTTAAGCAGAGGACAGACAAATTTGCAATTTCTAGTAAACATTTTAGCAGGATGACTAACAGGAAAACAAAACTAGAAGAGAGATGCTTTAGCAGTATACAAAGTAAAAGGTAGTAAACTTTACCAAGGCAACAGTAAAGAGCAAAAGGACAAGAAAACAGCAATAGCACAAAATGTTATAAAGGCTGAGTATTGCTGTTCCAAACTGTTAGAAACAGAAGTACTTCAGATTTCAGATTCTGAAATATTTGCTTCTACATAATTAGGTATCTTTGGGATAAGATCCTTGTCTAAAATAAAATAAATTTTATGTTTTAGGTATACATTACACACAAAGCCTGAAGGTAGTTCTATGCATTATTTTTAGTGTGCCTACTTTCTCATGTGAGGTCAGTGTGGAATTTTCTACTGGTGGCATTCACATTGATACTCAAAGTTTGATTTTGAAGCATTTCAGATCTCAGATTTTTTTATTATGAATGCTCAACCTATACCATTTTCAAATGTCATTTCAAATAGTTTTGTATAGTGAGAAGACAGAACTACATGACAAAAAACTATTTTAACCCCAAATCATTTAACGTGTTTAATGTGTTTAATGCCCATGAATTTCTCTTCAAAAAGAGTTTCAACATATTATACTAAGAAATCTCTAAATCCTAAAATTACCTGTCATATAAATAAGAATATTGCTTCTATCATCAGAAAGAAGTCGTTTTGACCGAGGAGTACTAGATGGGATCCTCCCAGTTAATACCCGCAAAAAATTTTCCACAGTTACCTTAAGAGAGAGAGAGAGAGAATATGAATCAGTTGAAATGGAACCTGAAAAAAATACCTTGGAGAAAAAATAAGTTAAATCTCATTTAAAAATTTTAAATACTACACAAAGTATTGTCTTTAAAAATTATTCAAAAGCATCTGATGTGGTGTCACATGCCTATAATCACATACCTATAATCCCAGCTACTCAAGAGGCTGAAGCAGGAGGATCATCAAGTTTGAGGCTAGCCTGGGCAACTTAGTGAGACCCTGTCTCAGGAAAAAAAAAAAAAAAAAAAAAGGAGTGGGGATATAACTCAGATGTAAAGCACCCCTGGATTCAATCTTTGTACTGAAAAAATAAAATAAAAAGTATTTACCCAAAAGCTTAAAAATTACTAGTCTGTCTGAATAGGTAATTCTTTGGAAAGACACAAAATATAAGAATTTATAAATAAGTACAGTTACATTATTGCAACTTATATGTACAACTACTTAGTCAATAACAAATAATGAAAAAAGTTCTATTAATCTTCCCCCCAAATTAGGTTTCATTAATTTTTGAATGAATTATGTAAACTTGGATTTCGTTAGGAGCATCTTTATGGGGGAAAGGGGGTGTTCCAGGGACTGAACTCAGAGGCACTTGACAGCTAAACCATATCCCCAGCCCTATTTTGTATTTTATTTAGAGACAGGGTCTCACTGAGTTGCTTAGCTCCTCGCTTTTGCTGAGGCTGACTGTGAACTCATGATCCTCCTGCCTTAGCCTCCAGAGCCACTGGGATTACAGGCGTGAGCCAACACACCTAGAAGGATACAGGCATGAGCCACCACACCTAGAAGGAGCATCTGTAACATGCAAAAAATTCATAACACTTTAAATCAGATTTCCCAACCTGGAATTTCTAGCCCTCTAAAATTCTTTGAGGGCATTATTTAAACCTCCAGAGGGTAAAATGTAAAAATCAAGAGCTAAGTCATATATTATGCATATATAACTTTAAAGAATAGAAAATCAATCCAGCTTTCTTGTGGGACTTTTCTCTACATCATGGGTGCATAAATGTGTATGAATATGTATGTATAAGACATTTAATCTATATTTTGCCCAAGAGACAGCAAAATATCAATTTTAATAGGACTTCTTGCTGACTAACAAGGAAGAAATATTTTTGGTCAATATTTTAAGGCATCTAAATAAATAAGTAAAAAGTCAAATATTCATATACATTTAATTCATTGAAAAATATTTTTAGTATCTACAAAGGACTACATAGGTACTTGCTAGGTACAAAGTATGTAGATTTAGGCTATATCCTGGAGGAGTTCACAGCTTAGAAGACAGCTATGCTTCAGTAAAGATAAAGATACTGTGTCTTACTTTTGGTTAGCTGGTAAAAGAGGAAGAACTATCTAGGAGGACTTCAAAATTTAAACACTGTCATAATCTGTTAAATTTAAAAATTTCAAAGGAAGAAAATATAGTTAAAATAGCATTTTATACACATTTTACTTTTAATTATATATACAAAAAAACACTAGAAGCAAAATAAAAGTGGCTTACTCTCTAAGTAGTGGACATATGGTGTTTTGTTAGTCATTACAATTTTTCCACAATTAATATATTTATAAAAATACTAAACTTGAAATTGCTGAGCAAAGGTAAAACACAAGTAATAATATTTCCTGTGAAAGAAAAGTAATACATCAAACCTCACTAAAATGCTTTAATTAAAAGCCAATATGAAGTTTCCTATCTTAGAAATACATATGAAACATTCATACTTCAGTAGTTTTACTCATATTATTTCTTTAGTATGAACTACAGAGACAAATTACATGAAAGCTCAGCAAAAATTAGGTACTAAATTTAAAGAAAAAGAATTAGACAATTAATGGTATTCTCCTGCTGTCTCTAAGACATAAAAGTAATGACATCAGTTCAAATATTTTGCTGAATTAAACAATTTACCTCATAGCTTCTATAATCCACTTCCACATCATCTCCATACACATTTAGTTCCATATTCTTGTGACTAAACACTGTAGCTGGTTTGGGATTTCTAGGATTGCATGCCATATCATCAGCAAGCATCAGGACAATGTGACTAGGGAAAAAAAAAGTTCCAGTAAATATACTCTTTAAATAAAACCAAAATGTTAAACACAGACATTTTATTTATATCATATAGCAAGTATGTTCGTTCTTTTCCTCATTAAAACTAACTAAATTTCCAACTACATGTTTAAAGGGGCCTTAATTATTTTTTTTCATATTCTTACATAGCATAAATTTTAAAGTAGAGAAATAGGGCAATTTAGCATGAACTTATGCACAGAACTTGAAGTTGCTAACTTAATTTTTTTCCCAAGAGTTTACTTTATGTCATATAGCCAAGGGAAGCTAAAGAAACTACACTGTCTTCCCCATTTTTTTTTTAATTTTAGTAACATTAGACATTCTCTAGACTTAAAGAGTTCACATTAAAACAATGATATTCCAAATAACTTAACTTTTAAATTCCCAAAGCATGCAATCCATCAGTATGTGGGATCAGTATGGCATGAGAACACATTTCCACTCCTCCCTAATTCCAGCTACCATCATCTCTGCACTAGATGTTGGAATATCTCCCTACCTGGTCTCACCCTCTTTTAGTTCATTCTCCTGATAGGCTCCAGAGTGATCTTACTTAAATAAGCCAAAACTTTTCCATTTAAAACCTTCCCAGCTTTTCACATTATAATTAGAGTAAAACTGAAATCATTTACATGGTCTTAAAGGTTCATTTAATCTGGTTTCTGTCTTTAGCCCCTACCAGCCGTTATCACTAGATTCTTTCCACAACTGGGCTTTCTATACCAGAAATACGCCAAGTCTTTCTCACTTTAAGGGCTACTGACCAAACTTAAGGCTTCTTTCCAAACAGATATTCAAATCATTCCAATTAGCTAAGCTACTCATTTTGTTTGACTTTATATACGACATTTATGAATCTGAAATCCCTATCATCTCCCACCATCATTCCATTAGAATATAAGCTCTCAGAGGGACAGTAATCTATCCATCCTATTTACTACTGTCACACAGCCTTAGTAATAAAGCCTCTCATATAGTAGGAATTCAATAAATGATTTTAAGTAAATAAAACATTTTCATTTTTGCAAATCATTTCTTTAAGAGGAAATTTCAAAATACCTCTTACATATTTCTTATCTTGATCCTGTCATTAAAACTAGTGAACATGAATCAGGAAATTCTTTATTCTACCATATACTTGTGCTTCCAAAACTTAAGGGAAAAATTAATGTGGCATACATAATTAGTTTGGCAGGAGACAGCAAGAAGAAAATGTTCTGCTGCATATGTTCCAAATACATTAAAGTTCAAAATTGAAACATTGTGATTTTTTCTTGAAAACTGGCTAGATTTCAACTTTGAAATCATTCCAATCCTGCCACATTCAAATATCAGATCTTCAGCTGTTACTGATTCATACTCCCAGAATGATGAAAGTTATTCCTCTTAAAATAGAAAATATATTTTCTTTTTTTATATCTTAAGATCATTAATTTACATTAAGTTGTTATCAATCCTATAATTTTTATTAAACAAGAATGAACTGATATACAAATGTAAATATTTAAATGAATACATTAAGGCCATGTCATTTGTTTATTGTTAATTTCACTCTATAAAACTAAATGATTATTTAATATCTATATATCAATATTAACCAAAAAGCAGTAATAATTTCGGCTTAAAATTATAAATTCAATCAACATTTTTCCTGCAGATAACTTTGAGCCTCAGGATAAGTACTGTCATGGTCCTTGATCAAACATAATATATCTTAAAAATCATCTTATCTGTAATAATGTGGGTAAATTAGAAAAAGTCAAGAAATTCCAAAGGTTTAGAAGTCCAACCACATATTCTAGTTCACTGTTCATGAGATCGTGAAAATAAATGCACAGAACTTTTTTTCTGTAGAAAATAAAAATTCTTACTTGGTCTAAGTGCTAATTTTTCTCTATAATGGTACTTAATATATGCATGCAAGTAAGCTACTTAGGTTTGCTAAACTTCTTATAAAACTACAGAATCAAGATAAAATTATGAATTAAAATCTAACAAAACTACCAAACTAGAAATACTCTTAAAAACAATAATCCTATTTGAAAGATGATATTATTTTTGCTAAAATGAAATGACTACTGTTATGTTTAAGAAGAGCTTCAGATCTGGTCTTACATTTAATTTCATTCTATATTTTAACATCAACATTACAAATATAATTCAATAACATAAGAAATACCTGTTCACAAAAGTACACTGTACAATACACAATTCAAAATTTCTAAGCCTCTGCTTACTGTTAAAGACAATCAGATCCTTATATTTAAGTAAGTTTTTGCCAATAAACATTCCTTGAATGTCAGGTATGAGATCTCACTTACTGACTCCTTAAAATGTCTTTTTCACTTAACTATCAAAGTTAGCATCACAGCAATTATTTAAATCTGCACATAATGGGTATCAAATCCATCACTGCTAAAATCAAGACCAAAATAATTTACCTTAAAGACATACTTAGACATGCCTACAAATAACTAACAAGAAGTTGTCATCTATCTTATTAAAACAAAATCCCCAAAATACAACCAATTCATACAAGAATACGATATTCTTTGGCAAGCCATGTGTGATGACTACCATATGTGATGACTCAACTCTCACACTTTATTCTTTTCAAGCCCCTGTAAAAACTTTTTCACACAACAAAGCATATGTAATGTGGCCTTCTCTCAACTCAAAATAAAAAAAAAAAATATGAGCAACTGTATGGCAAGTTAGTTATATAATAATTATTTATATAAACAAATGGTTTCCACATTTTTTAAATCGTACACTACCTATTGGTTAAAAATTTGTGAGGACACACTCATATATACTTATGTATAAGTAAGATGTATTTACTTATTAAACATAGAAGACTCATAAAGCATAACTTCTTTCTTTTCTGATAAAAACAAACATAAAGAAAACTATCAATGTGTTTTTCCTTACCATTTGTTGGTATCTACCCTATCATACTTAACAGATTTTTTTAAAGATCATGATCGATATGAAAATAAAATTCTAAAACTTCTCTAAAAATAAATTTAAAATCCCAATATGAGAAACATACAGAGAGGGGTGATCTAAAATAAATGCTTTTCCATCATTATATTTGCCAAACATTGAATGAACAGGTAAATCCTGCATTGAAGATGCAAGGCCATTCTTTGACCTGCTTCCTTGAAAATCTTCCTTAACACAATCAGGAACCTGGGGATCAAATGAGTTAAAAAATAAATTCATTTGAATAAATGAACACTCTTTCACAGTTCTTGACCACAAGAGTATAAATTTCAAAAAAAAGCATAAATTTTCACTTAAAATAGACTGGTGTTACTTTAACAAAAACTTTTCACTGAATGAAATTTAAATAAATTACTATTTCAGTCAAAATGTTTTTAAATTCTTCCCTTAAAATTGTTTGACATTCTCTAGTCATGCTGTTAATCAGATACTACTACGTATAGCATCTTGAGCTGCTGTAGCTAGGATTACTGGGCTCACCTTCATTAACATCAACATTCCAAGCTATAATAACAGCAGAAATTAAAACAGCAGGAAATATGAATGTCTTTAGGATCTCTGATGCCCTCTTTAAATCTGGCCCTCTAGGTTTCTGCCTTGTAGACGTTGCTTTTTTCACCTTTGACACAAATTATTTAGGATACTCAGCTTCTGCAGCAATGTCATGACTAATGGAACAAAAAAATTCAGCAAATCGAACTAATCAGTAGCTTAATATTAAGGTAATTTACTTTTAGGCTTTTCCTCTTCCATGTCCTAAAGAATCTCCAAATTAATAATTCTTACCACCAATGTACAATGAAACTAATCATAAGAAATACGCTAGCCACCAATGCTAGACCATTTAAATTTTCTGAATTACTTTCAACTTGCCAAATATCAATTAGCCTTCCCAGACTATATGATGCCAGATATCTGATAATTGTATTAAAAATGAAAACTCAGTCAGGCACAGTCATATATGCCTATAATCCCAGGGATTTGGGAGGATAAGGCAGGACGATTTCAAGTTCAAAAGCAGTTTTTAAAGTTCAAGAGCAGCTTCAGACACTTAGTGAGGCCCTAAGCAACTTTAGTGAGACTATATCTAAATATAGTGGTAAAGTGCCTCTGGGTCCAATCCCTACTGTCAAAAATTTAAAAAATAAAAACTCAACCACACTGCAGCCATGTTATCTATCATACTGACAAATTACATGAGGCTCATATAATTAAATTCATATGTCGTTTAGTATAATAGCTAACATCTAAAAAAAATAGGTAACATTTATCAAGCACTTGATATATCTCAAGCAATATACTAATAAACACATTATATATATTATCTCATATTATGCCTATGAGAAATGTATTATCACTTCTGTTTTACAGGCTATCAAATTGGTTAAGTAACATGCCCCAGGTCACAGTTATCAAGTTAATGGAGTCTGAATTCAATCCCAGATTTGTTTAATATGAATGTTTCCTTTTAACAAATCTAAAGTACCCTGAAACTATATGAATTGGCATTTTAAAAGATTTAATGTGTATTTTATCTCATACTGATAATTTAATTGTCTCAGATGATTAAGTTATATACATGAACTCATTATCACTGTTCAATATTTATGGCACATATCTAGAATAAAATAGGCCCTTGAAATTCTAAATGGAATTATCCAGAGACCTTAGCAAACTCTCAAATCAAAGAATAGCGGCACTAAAGCATGTAACTCCTCCTATAAGTGTAACAAGACATAATGAAAAATTTCAGTGCCTCCTTAAATGTGAAAATCAGAGAACAGAACTTCCAAGAGATGCAGAAGCTAATATTCTAGTCTGTCTCCAATCATTTCGCCAAAGCCATCTTTTCTACAGAAAGAAATAAGGGATACAGGTTGCTCCTGGCCCTGCTCTCATTAGATCTTTTCAGTCACCAAGCCTACCACTTGGTCACAGTCATAACCATCTCTACCAGTAGCT